AGAAATACTCTAATATTAGATTGTGGTATAAATTGTGTTCTGTAAGTTGTTAAGAATCACTAAATTGTACATTTAAAACGTGTGAATTTAGTGGTATATAAATTATGCCTTGGTAATGCTGTTTAAAAAAAAAAAACAAAAAAAAAAAAGAAAAACAACAAGATGTAAATCCTAAAACCCTGAGACAGCCAAAAATTTAATGCTGACAAACTGCCAGAATTTTAGTGAGTCACAGATTAGTTGCTGGCATTCTCTGAATTTCCCTAATGGTGGTAAAAGGAGTGATGTTCCATCTCAAACCAAACACTGGGAGACTCTACAAGGTGAATATTATTATCCTCATCTCTCAGCGGATGAAATGGAGACTCAGGAAGTTAAAATACTTTGCCCAAGATCCACAGCCTGGAAAAACTGGCCAGAGTGTCAAAAGCAGCACTGTGTGGCCCCCCAGCCCGTGGCTGCTCTCTCCCCCTGTGTCATGACCCCTCTCTGGGAATGAGAAGAAGCCCCTCCATTTTGTTTGGCTCAGCATCACTTTCCTTCTTCCAGGATAATAGTAAACTGATTTTCTAGTGTTTCCATCAGTGTTTTGTATTTTGTACTCAAGATTCATGAAAGGCATGAATCTGTTTTCAATATTGAAGAAAGGCGGAAAATGGGTCTGAGCCTTATGTTAATGGAAAGATTCATGTTTCTTTTTTTTTTTTTTTTAGGATTTATTTATTTATTTTGACAGAGCATGAGTGATGGGAGAGGAGGAATGGGGAGGGAGAGAATCCTCAAGCAGACTCCTTGTTGAGCACAGAGCCCAATGCGGGGCTCCATCTCAGGACCCCCGATCATGACCTGAGCCGAAAGCAAGGCTTGGTCACCTAACCAACTGAGCCATCCAGGCGTCCCTCTTTCTTTTGATGTTCACTGGGATGCACTATGTTTTGGTTTTTAAAATGATATCCCTGAAGGATGCCTGGGTGGCTCAGTCATTAAGCTTCTGCCTTGGGCTCGGGTCATAATCCCAGAGTCCCGTGATCAAGCCCTATATCCGGCTCCCTGCTTAGCAGGGAGCCTGCTTCTCCCATTGCCCCTTACCCAGCCCTCATGCTCTCTCTTACTCTGTTTCTCTCAAATAAATAAATGAAATCTTTTAAAAAAAATGACATCCATGCATACACATACACATCTGTCTATGCACATATGTACATAAATTATTATATTTAACATGAAGAGACTTGCAGCAGCTGCTTCCACTTCTCTCCTGATTTAGTTGGTTCATTGGAGACCAAGATGTGACTTGTCATGGTGTCTGCTTAGGAACTTTTGCAGCTAGCCTCTGTCATGCCTCTTGTAGGTTTGACTCACCTGATAAGCTGGCTAGCTCACTCATCGCCCATTTTATGATGTAGAATTCCAGAAAAGGGAAAGCTGGTGGGGCTGCATTTTCCAGCTTTTCCAGAGCTAGTAAACTTTGCATGTTCACTTATATCCTCTTGGCATCCTGCATTATTCGTTTCTTGCCAGTTCCCTGTGCCTGATCATAAATGTGTAACCAGCTCTCTGGCAGCCCCTGTCCAACCCTCAGTTTTACTAAGCCTGCTATATAGCCCCTTCCCTTCCAGATCCTTCGTCCGGTCTGGCCCAGGCAGTCTCCTCTTGCTGCTCTGTGACTCTGTTGTTCTCTTCTCTGAGCTCTTTGTATATATCCCAGGTCCTTTTTGTTTTCTTTTCCTTCTTTCTCCTGGGATATGTGTATACTCTCTTCAACCCAGTTGAAACAAAACAAAACAAATAAATACAAACAAGAAACCATTTGTTTGCCAAGCCAGCAGAACATGTCCATGAGCCAAACTGGGGCTCCTGATGGTACACTTGTATTTCCCCCAGAACCCTGAAAGACAGTGATTTCCATATTCAAAGAAATGTAGATGGCATTGAAAAAAAGAAAGAAGAAGAAACACCAGAGTAAGTGCCAAAATGATGTAACCCTGGGATTATGAAAACAAACATCCTAGTGCTCTTTCCCGCTACCCATATTCTTAAAACAGGAAAGTAAACAGAAGCTTCTGCTTTTACATTTTGGCAATAGTAGAACTTATTAAGTAATTTTGAAATGTTCACAGAATCTTGTTCACATTTCAAAATCAAGTTCACTCGCAGGAATCCTTTGAGTTGTTTCTCGTGTGCTGAGAGATGATGGAATGAAAAGCCGTGAAGGTAGTGTTGGGAAGGATGAAAAGCCGTGAAGGTAGTGTTGGGAAGGAGCCATGTCTTCAGGTCAACAGTAGACTGTCGTCTTTAGTCGTTTGCCTCACTGCTCCCGCAGACAGCCTGCCTGCTTCTGAACTGCAGTCCTCAGCCTCCCACCACATGTTTGCAAAACACAGCAAGTGCCTCCTTCTTGACTTCATGCGGCACAGTCAAGTTCAGTCCAGACCTCTTCACGCAGCCAGACGAGTATCCTGAAATGATCTACAGCACTTATCACACGGCAGCAAAGCATCGCCTAGAACAAACTCAAAACTATTCTCATATATATTTTAGAAACATTGTTTTCTTTCCCTCTTACTCTGGTTTGTTTGCAGGAATACCTACATTTGGGCAAAAACTGTGTTCTAAGAGAACTCATTGAAAGGACTTCGAAGTCACTTTTAGGACTTCGAAGTCGCTTTTTCTTTCAGCAATGAGGGATCTGTAGATAGTCAGTCACCCTGCACTCATGCATTTTGTAGGTCCAGATTTTTCCCCAGTACTGTTGCACATAGGAATTTGGTTATCGTTTGTTTAACAAACCCATTTCCTCTATAAAGGGCACTTCCAGAAGTGCCACTTAAGTGCATGGATTTGGGCACATTGCAGTTATCACACTTACAGTGTAATTATTTTGCAGTGTATAAGTGCGTAAAATCAACAAATTGTACACCTCAAACATACACTGTGTTATATAGGTCAATTATATCTCAGTAAAGCTGGGAAAAAAACAGTGTTTTCTTGGCAACAAATACAATGAGAAAAATGGGTATTTTTCGAGATGGGCTGTTGTGTATATATTTGAGTTGAACAAATGATTAGAGTCTTTTTTTTTTTTTTTTTAAATCAATGTAAAGCTGTCAGGACTAGGAAACAGGGATGTGAATGGCCACTTATATGTGCTTACCATGTGCCACATCCTGGAGTAAATATTTTAATATCAAGTGCAGCTCGGTGTAGGGTTTCCAGCTGCTAGTTCTAGGGTTAGACTGCCCAAGTTTGAATGGAAGCTTCTGCACTGTTTCCAGGATTCAGAGAGATGAGAGGTGTGCATAGCAGCTAGCTCTGTACTGGTACGATAGTGAGGACTAAGTCAATTAGCTGTTCATTATGTCTTATTCCATTTAATTCTTTGAAGTAAGCAGTGTCCCCATTGTGCATATGAAGAGACTGAGTCTGGAGTGGCCTAAGTAACTTGCATAGTTTTCTAAAGTAAGTTGCAGAGGAAGAATTAAGAACCAGGGTTCTATTGGGTGTTCTGATAAAACCTCTCACCAGGAGTTACTGTCCTAGGCCACCAGGAAAATCTATGCTAATCCTAACATTTCTAAGTTTAGGAAAACTTTCAAAGGATCCATTTCGGCAGTCAACCATTCTTAGAGTTCTTTTCTGCAGTGGATAGTAGGTTCTCAACTATATGGATAGGTCTGTGCTTTTCAAAATCTGTGTGTGATGTATGAAACATACCAAATACACCAGTTCTATCAGTAACAGTGCTGTGTAAATGTCATCATCTATGCAAATACCAACTTGTAATGCCAGCTTAAGGATATCATAAGGGCAATGTTCCTTTAGCAACCAGAGGGCGGACTTAAAAGACTTTTTTTAAAACTTTTTTTTTTTTTAAGATTTTATTTATTTATTTGACAGAGAGAGAGATCACAAGGCAGAGAGGCAGGCAGAGGCGGTGGGGAAGCAAACTCCCCACCAAGCAGAGAGCCCGATACGGGGCTCGATCCCAGGACCCCAAGATCATGACCCGAGCCGAAGGCAGAGGCTCAACCCTCTGAGCCACCCAGATGCCCCCTTTTTTAACTTTTTAACTAGGTGCTATAGTTTTCATCTCTTCTTATGGCGCGAATACCGAGTGATGCTGGGCACTCCCAGTACCTTGGCCACATCTGTCAGGCTGGATTTCAGTGTTGTTTAAATAGGTCTTCTAGGTGTGTGCTTCCATTGAGAACATCCTTGTTTTCATCTTTAAGGTTCATGGCTTGGTGGCCATAGTGACCAGGTGTGGCTATTGTGGGACAATGACTAAAGTTTTATTTTGTTTTGCTTTGAGAGGGAGAGAGAGGGGACAAGGGGCAGAGAAGATGGAGACAGAGAATCTTAAGTCCAGCCCTATGTGGAGCCCGACACGGGGCTCGATCTCACAACCCTGAGATCATGACATTAGCCAAAATCTAAAGTTGGACACTTAGCTGACTGAGCGCCAGGCATGCCAAGGACTGGAGTTTTAATAGTGAAAGATACTAGATACTAGAACTAGAAACTCATTTACTAATGAAGGATTCTACTTTGCTGTGTTGAAATCTTAGATAATTCTGTCTTCTGTAGCCCAAAATATGGGTAGAGTTTAGCTCTTATCATAGGCTGAATCTCTTTTTCCTTTAGACGTATATATAAAGGGGAGAATGGAATGAAACTTCCAGTTCACAAATGAATAGGGGCTTAATATAAAGATAGCATAAAACAAGAAGCATTGGAACTGAATATCACATAATTTTCATGACAGTTCACTTCCTAGCACTTAATGTAGTCCAAATATTTTCCTTTACAGTATTGCTACCTTCTGAATTACTAAAATGATTAACCGTATTCTGCCGTCTGAACGTATGTCTGCAGCAAAGGCGCGGAGTGCGTGCACCAAACCCCACGCAAATGAGAACTCACTCCAGGACGCTGGTATGGATGGGACGCTCACAGGAGCTCCCCATCGCCACATTGAAACCACTCTGGGTTTTCCTTTGCAGGGTTCCGCGGATTCCTACACGAGCAGGCCGTCTGACTCCGATGTCTCTTTGGAAGAGGATCGGGAAGCGATTCGGCAGGAGAGAGAACAACAAGCCGCGATCCAGCTGGAGAGAGCAAAGGTGATTTTCTGGCCCCTCGTTGATTCCAAAGCAGCCTGTTGCTCAGCAGGCATCAGCTGCTCGTCCCCCGCCGCAGATTTCTCAGGAACAATCATTTTATGATCATCCTGATAAGGCACCAGATTGTAAGGTTCCCTGACCCATTCACCCCCTAAGACAGGTTAATAACATTCCCGGGGGGCCATTTCCTGAGACCCTGACCCCTCACCCTTTGCGTTCGGTTTGGTGGCGAATTATTGGGCATCTTCCTACTTCACGGTGGTGGCTGATTTTAAGCTTGCCCCTCCCAGTGCTGGCAGAGAGCCCCGTTGGGCACTGGTTTCTCTACCTGTTCCTGACCGCTCATTCTCTGGGCCATCAGCCTTCATTTCTGGCTGCATATGTGGGACTGTTGTTCCGTGGGGTCTCTCTACAGCTCCCCTTTTGGTTTCGGTCTCCTACCTCAAATTCAGCATGAAGTATGGAGCTTTGAACAACTATTAGTATTTCAGCAAACATGAGCCAACAAAGGTGTTGCCAAAAATAGAACTTAAGATATTCCACCAGGTCGAGCCCCCCCCCCCCCCCAGGAATTTCTGTACCCACAGGAGGCAATAAAGAGCAAACTATATTTTTAAATCTTAGAACTGGAAGAGTCACTAGAGGTCTCCTGTTCTATGCCTTTCAAACTGTTTTTGTTTGTTTGTTTGTTTGTTTTAGCATAGACTCCTTTTGCCAAATGAAGTTCCATGTAAAATATAAGACAGGTTGTGGCCAGCCTCTGTTCCTTGCCCTCCAGGACAGACTCCTAAGGCGTAATGATCCAGTCTTTCTAACTTTTAGAAGAAAAACTGAAGCTCAAGTGATATGAATTCCTTCCTTTTTCTGTTTTTACAGTAAACTCATTGTACAAGCAGTAAGAGGGGAATGATGCCAGTAACGAGGCATCTTCATTCACTGTGACACGTGCTATCTGTGCTCGGTGGGCTGGAGGGGGTGTGGGGCCGTGCTTGTGAAGGGACATGGCCAGGACTCTAACCAGGGTCTTGCCTCAACTCTTGCTCCCCAGTCATGTTCTCAGAATGAATAAATGAGCCACTAACAAAACAATCCAGGATTGCAGGAACCTTGTGTTCTCACTTCAGCTAATTTTTTTTTTTTTTAGTTTTCTTTCAGAGTGTTTTGTGGCCTTTGTGGTCACTCAGATGGCAGCCGCAGTACTGTTAGCTTAGGCTGCTGGTTTGTTTAGCCTCTGCAAGGATGCACCCACCCAAGAACGCTTTGCTGGGGAGGAATTTGCCTAAAAAGTGTTTTTCGGAATGAGCTTTTGTTACCAGGGAGAAGATGGTGCTCCTCCTTCTGGTCTGCCCCTAACTGACCTTTCTTTTTCCTGGCAGGACAAGGTATTCATTTTGAGTAGAATTCCACAGGATTTCAGATCTGAGGCTATCTCAAAAAAAATATTTATTTTGCTCCTGCCAACACCTTTTAATTTAAGACCTAGCACACATTTCCTGTATCCCAAGGGGTGTCTGTTATCATTTAAAATAACAAACAGAAGTTTCAGGAGTAGAGGACAAAGCAGACAGCCCCCGCCTGTCTTTCCATCCCTCCCCAGCACTTTAGAGCAGGTTTCTTGGTTTGGGATGTTCGAAAGCAGCCCAGGAGGGGGAAATGTTTGGGCTGATTGGGTTGAATCATTTTAGAGTCATTGCTGCAGATTTCTCTATGCAGCCAGGAACCGTGAAACCCATTTGAGACACCTCTTTGGAAAGTGGTTTCCCTTCCTGCCTGATACTATCAATTATCTAATTGTATTTTCCAATATGAAAAATCCCACTCTGTCTCCTTCCTCTGTCCTTATGCCGTGTGTCTGCCCCCAGTCCAAGCCTGTAGCGTTTGCCGTGAAGACGAACGTGAGCTACTGTGGCGCCTTGGACGAGGATGTGCCCGTTCCGAGCACGGCCATCTCCTTCGACGCCAAGGACTTCCTCCACATTAAAGAGGTAAATGTAGGACTCTCTGCGTCCCTTAACCTGCCACGAGCCGAGAGCCGGGATCAGCTCTGAGCCAGACTGAACCGAGAGGAGCCCTGAGGAGCTGTCAGTGTGTTAGCTTATTTAATTTGCCAGGCTTTCCAAATCCATGCGTTCTCACTGAGATTTAGAGAACTGAGATCATTGCTTGCATGATCACTCATTGAAAACGTTGGATCACCGTTATCATAGGTTGGATTTGGGACAGATCTCTGGTCCCCTGGTCACCTTCTCATCACCTTGCACGACTGCAGAACCACAGGTCTATGGATCCCACTTAGGGAAACGTTAATTTGGCGGCATGGCATCTACCCATGGCATCTACCCATGAGGGACCATTTACAAGGGATATTGTAATTATAAACATCTCTGCTGTAATCCTGTGGACCTTGACCTTGGAACCAACGCTTGAGAGTATAATTAATAATTAAAGTGTTAAAGCTAGAAAGAGGGCAGAGGACTTTGGGAAATCGAAAGCTTAAGGGATCGAGAGGTACAGAGAGGACTTGAGGACTTACAACTTGAAAGGTGGAATGATGACACAGAAACTTTGATTTAGTCAACCTAAATTGAAATCCTACTTCATCTCAGACATTGTGCTTGGCATCGAGAGATCAGAGATGAAGGCACACGTTCCCCACTGCCAGGGAGCTCTGAGTCTGGTGGAAAACACTTGCAGGTGTCTAGTTTCTGCCCTGGATGACAAGTTCTGTAGTAGTAAAATTGAATAGGTATCATGGGAACCTGAAGAAAAAGCAGGCTGGCCAAAGGAAGATGGGGGGCGGGGCAGGAGCTCTACAGAAATGGTGAAACCTGAGGGAGTTCAGGCTGGGTGGGTGTGGGGATGGATCTGATGGAAGGGACAGCCAGGACCAGTGCAACGTGGCTCGAGGGCGGAAGTAGGGAGTAGTACAGGGGATGAGCCAGGTCTCCGAGGCAGGGGCCTGATAAGAAAGGACCTCTTTGACCCTGACAAGAAGTCTGGACTTTATCACCAGGCAGTGGGCTGGAGAGGAATTTTAAATAATGGGCAGGTGCCACGAGGATTGTGTCTTAGCATACTGACTCTGATGGTCAGGAGAGTGTTGCAGAGGCCGGCCTGAGATTGCAGCAGAGAGGCTGGAGAGAGGGAGCAGCTTGGAGGGAGAGTGAAGAGGCAGACAGGCAAGATTGGGAGATTTCATATGCTGGGGGTGATATTGGGGAAAGTGAAATAGAGAGAAAGGAAGGATGGAGAAAGGCCAGTTTTATAGCTCACTAGAAAGGGTAGAGGGTTGTGTCAGTTTTCAAAATGAAGAAATCAGGGAGTCGCTCTGGGGATGAGAGGATGGGTAGATGAAGAAGGCAGAGAGGGGAGAAGCTTTGTTGCAAGGTGAATGTGGTTGTGAATTGGCTTTCAGGTACACTGTGTCTGGGGTGCTGTGAAAGCCCCGTGAAGATACTTATTAGGCCTTTACCCACATAATCTGGAGGCTAGAGGAGAGGAATTGCAATTTGCTCTTCCTAAAAGCTTTGAGTTGAAAATGAGAATGCATTATAGCTGGAAAAAGGTAGTATAGAATCGAGGAAGTGCTTTTAAATTTTTATTTGCTTTTTTATTTTTTAAGATAGGAGAGATTTCAGCATGTTATCCGTGCTGACATGTTGAACCTAGTGAACTCTATTGGAAGGATCGCTGATTGAGTGAAGGGCTGCGGTAGAGGGGAAGGATGGTATCTGGAGGATGGGCACAAGAATGGGGCCAAGTCAGGAGTACAGCCTTGCCTGCTTTGTTCTGCACAGAAGTTCCCGATGGGGCTGGAGGCATACACTGGCAGGGAGGCATGCCCCCATGCCCCTCAAAAAAAGAGAATGGGACAGTAAAGTGAAATCTGAAGCAGTGTGGTCAGTAAAAGCAATCACTGCACATCTCTGAAATACCTGCACTTATCCCCAGTCTAAAATGAGGTGCACGTGGTAAATATACAGCAGTTTTGCAAATCATTGTCTTTGAAGCCCTGCAAGCTGCATTGGCATTAGTGACACTGAGGTATATACATAGTTTTAACACTTTAGCCACTTGATAGCAAGTAGGTCAAACATCGGGATGTCTACAGATGTCTGTCTTTGCATTGTGCCCATGTGAGCTGGGTGAAGTTCTATCTGCTGTGTTCCTTTGTTCAAGTACTCCTTCAAGATACCATTCTTAAACACTTGTGTTCAAGTTTGTGCCAGGCCGTGGCAGATGTTGTCTGATAGCTATAAACAAAGCAGACAGATTCTCTCCCCTCACGGACTGAAATTCTTGTGGGGAGACAGATCACGAACAAATAAATAATTCCAAATTGTGAATGCTTTGGGGGGAAAATGAAGCAGATGCTAAAAAATTTAAAACATAGGGATGAAGGTGTTATATATACTTTTAAATATGGGGTGATCAAACAAGGCCTTTTGAACAATGTGACCTTTAAGTAGACACCTGAAAGATGAAGAGGAGGAGCCAACCTTAAAAAGAGCAAGAGGGGGTGCCTGGGTGGCTCAGTGGGTTAAAGCCTCTGCCTTCGGCTCAGGTGGTGATCCCAGGGTCCTGGGATCGAGCCCCGCATTGGGCTCTCTGCTCAGCGGGGAGCCTGCTTCCTCCTCTCTCTGCCTGCCTCTCTGCCTACTTGTGATCGCTGTCTGTCAAATAAATAAATAAAATCTTAAAAAAAAAAAAGAGCAAGAGGAGGTCTTCAAGGGAGAGGAAACACCATGTGCAAAGGCCCTGTGATAGGAGAAAAGCTTGGTATAATCAGTTAACTAGAAGAAGGCCATATGGCTCTAATGCAGTGAGCCGGGGACCTAGTAGCAGGACACAGTCATAGAAGTAAGGAGGACACAGGTCAAAGAGGACCTTAAAGTGACGATGAGACTTTAGATTTTGTTCTGAGTGTAATAAGAAGCCATTGAAGACTTTAAAAGCAAAGGAGTGGGATGAATTTATTATTTTTTTAAAGGCTACTCTGATTGTTGTAGAGACCATGGATTGGGGTGGGATAAGTATGGAATCAGGGAGACCATTAGAACCATTCTGATGGAATTGAGCCAGCATGGCAGCAGCAAGATGGAAAGAAGTAGACAAATTTGAGACCTATTGCATGCTTTAGTGAAGGGCAGTGGTGGTGGACCAGGTCAAGAAACTAAGAGTGAGGGAGAAATCACACATGACCAGGGAAATCAAGGTTTGTGAACTGAGCAATGGAGATGGAGAAGACTAAGGTGGGAAAAGGACAGATGGAGGGGACATCTCAAAGGACATATCAGGTAGAAGTTAGATATAAGAATCTGGAACTTTGAGGAAAGGGTTGGGCCAAAGATGTCAATTTAGGTCATCAGTTTATATGTGGCATTTAAAGCTGTGATAATGATCGATGTCACCTAAAGAGGGAGGAGAGGGAGAAGAGAAGGCACCCTGACATCAAACCTGAAGGGATTCCATCCTGCAGAGGTGGGCTACATGAAGTGACTCAACAAATAAGGAGAGGGAACAGGAGAAACCTGAGATGTAGGAGGAAAACCAGGACAGAGCGATGCGTGGGCATCAAGAGAGGAGTGTGTCCCAAAGGAGGAAGCAGTCAGCTGTGGCAAATGCTGTGACATGTCCCCTAAGATGAGCAGTGAGAAATGGACATTGGGTTGGCAACACGGTGGTCAATGGCACGGAAGTCATTGGGACAATTGTCTGGAAGCCAAGTGAAGGGGGAATGAGGAGAGAAGGGGAGTTAGGAATGTTTAGCAAGCATAGAGTATGCTTTCAAGGAGGTTGACACTGACCAGGTAGTAGACTGAGGAGGATATGAAGTCAAGGTTTTCTTTTAAGACAGGAGCTCATGGAGCACCTACACATGCTGATACTAACAGACGGAGAGAGGGAGAGGTTGATGGGAAAGGAAAGATAGGCAAAGGAGTATAGTTTTTGAGTAGGCAAAAAGGGTGGGATCCAGACTCCCAAGTTGGGGGGGGGAGTGAGATTTTTTATAGGAAGGGGACCACTTACTCATCGTAACTTGCAGAGAGAGGATGGGTGCAGACACCCACGGTTCAGAGCCTTGCTAACAGGAAGCTGGGGTAGCATTGACTTGATGATTTCCACGTTCTAAAAGTGCATGAGGTGAGGATATCCACATTTGCCTGGTGGGCAAGGACATGGAGCCTGAAACATGTGTCCCACCATCTGAACGGTTAAGTGGATTATCTCACCGTTTCCATCAAAAATGACCAAACCCTATTCATTAGTCGGTAACACCCATTGTTTCCAAGGAGAAGCAGAACTTTAAAAGGTAAGAGAAGCTCTCACATATTTTATGCACACCCCCTCACACCCACATTCCAGCCTTGCTGTATATTATTGCTTTCCTCTATTCCATCAATATTCCCAACTTGTCCTCTTGGTTGCTTTCTGATTTATGCGTTCCTTGCTCAGTGACTTTCTCTTCAAGACCAGCAGTTTGATGTATGGAATTGAGCTGGTAATCCGGCATAGGTTAGAGTCACTTGTTTTCAGATCTTGAAATATCTGCTAAGAACACATCTTAGAGCTTAGAACACATCTAAGTTCTCTTAGCACTTAGCACTTAGAGAAAGTGCTAATCATGTTAGGGAAATGGGATGAGAAGAAATGGAGCAACGCTGAGGTGACCGTCCCAGAACCGCTCGCTCACGCTTCTGGAGCGTCGCTCGAGGAACGCACTTCTGTAGTCTTGTCGCCTCTCATTTCATCTGTCATCCAGACTATCTCTAATGCACGGCTTTAAGCACTTTTTCAGTAATGAGAAGCTTAAACGCAGAGAAAAACGGCAGCTCTGCTTATCACATTCACCAAATGACACGAGTGTGGAGCTCTTGAATCTATGTGGCAACTTCTGGTGGCTCAGAGAACTTTTTCATTTACGTGGAGCCAGATACTCACTGAACTTTAGCTGCTTCCTACGAGGAAGCTAAAACAGATTGGCAGGTTGCCGTGAACCATTTCTAGAAGCCCTTTGAGGTCACTTGGGTACCGTTTAATAAATGAGTGTTCCCGCAGGCTAACTTACCGTTCAGGAAGTAACTTAAACCCTAGGACACTCTGACTCATAGCCTGCTTTGTCCCCACCATGCGAAGATTTACATTCCAGACCTGTGCACCAAAGATTCTAAAAGGGCCTCCTTGCCTTTTGTTGATTCCAGAATAAACAGGCCTATTATTTCAAGCTTGTTATCCTGAAATACAGAATGGAAAGATAGGAAGAATCAAGACTTTGATTGTGCAAGATTTTATATTAGGTCAACTCACATTTCTTTCTTTACTTTTCTTTTCTTTTTTTAAGAATTTATTTATTTATTTGTCAGAGAGAGATAGAGAGAGAGAGAGAGAGAGAACAAGCAGGGGAAGCAAGGGGAGTGGCAGCCTGAGGGAGAGGGAGAAGCAGGCTCCCGGCTGAGCAGGGAGGACTCCATCCCAGGACCCTGGGATCAGGACCTGAGCTGAAGGCAGATGCTAAACCCACTGAGCTGCCCAGGTGTCCCCCTCAAACCACATTCCTGAAATGCCATCTCACACTATGTACCGTGCATGCCTCGTGCAGGAGCTGTGTGCATATAAAGGCCAGATCTCTAAGCCATCCCATTTTGCTTTTGAGTATGAGGCTGATGTTGCAAATTACTCACGGCTATGTAGAGTTTCATGCTGCAGTGAGTTAATGAAACCATCCATTTCTCCTTCACAATGTGTCAGCGTCATAAATTTCACTTTTCTCTGAGCTAAGCAAAGTGTACTACATATAGTTTTTCATTTTGAAAAATAAACCAGATACTTTTGGGATCAAACAGAGAGGGAGCCTTGCCCAACACAACACTGATGAAGACAAAGTTTTGGGCACTATCTCTGGAGGATATGAACAATAGGACTGATACCTGCTTTCTAAAAATCACCTACCTGAAACCTTCCCTTGAGGCAGGTGGCTTGGATTAAATATGCCTTCTGATCTAGGCTTTGGCAAATCCGTAATTACAAATACAACTTTGCTCACCCACTAAATAGGATCGTGTTCACAGAGCCTTACCTCCTACTGGTGGAAGCCTTTGCGTGGGTTAATTTTCTTATTTTACGTGTCATGGAACTTTCCATGTAAATGGAAATGCTGGTGTTCCTGTTGGACTTCAGGCCATTTGGAGATTATTTCAAAAACTCCACATATATACAATATGCTTAGCCTTTGTAAGAGTAGACTTCTTTTTTATCAGGTAATGAGATGGATCTGAATTTGTAAACCTATGTTTAGAAGATTACAGTTCTCTAATGAGAGTAGATTACAGACAATATCACAGAATCTTTACCTGAAAGCTTTTGACAGTAACAGACAGTTGAATGTATTTCATCTCAGATTTGTCTGTCTTGTTCTCCAGGGTTCCAGTTATGTTGATGCATAGTTATCCCTCCAAAATCTATTTCTTAAGAATTGGTTGGGGCTTCTTCATAAGGACTAAAGGAATCCAAAGGTTAGGACCCAACTTTAGTTCAGGGATTGGCAAACTGTTGCGTGCAGGCTGATTCCAGCCCGAAGTCTTTTTGATAAAGAAAATGTTAGCTGAAACACAGCACGCTCACTTGCTTACGCATTATCTACGGGCTTGTGCAGTGACAACAGTAGACTTAAGAAGCTGCAACAGAGACCATGAGGCCTGCAAAACCTAAAATATTTACTATCTGGGCCTTTAGGTGAAAAGTTTGCAGACTTTGGCTTTAGTCTATGGACACTTAGACATATATAACATAGTAGATATAATATAAATTGTGTTTATATGCAATATAGAATATTATAAACAGTGGCTCTTCTGGTCCTCAGAAATTAATTAATGGGATGTGAAGATAAGTGAATTACTACTGATAGCAGTTTTATATCTGTATTCCAGAAATATAACAATGATTGGTGGATAGGAAGGCTGGTGAAAGAGGGCTGTGAGATTGGCTTCATCCCTAGTCCTCTTAGATTGGAGAACATACGGATTCAGCAAGAACAAAAAAGGGGACGTTTTCACGGAGGGTAAGGCTCCTTCGTTTCTATGCACTTATTTTGGGGAGGTGGGTAGAAGAATAAGGTGATGTTTTCAAGTTTGCTTATTAGCTTAAAAATGTATGCTTTCTTAGGAAAGGTACTTTCCTGGGTATGAGGTGTTTCTGAAATTGACACAGAGGGGTTTCGGAGAGTTCACTCTGAAATGCTCGAGCCTCAAATCATGGGCATCAACATGAATTCCACAGTGAAGACTTTTCTGTGGCCTCAGCAAATCTTCCTTGGAAATGAAGCTCTCCTCCACGAGAGTCATATGGGGCCTTTGTCAGTGCAGGTGGGAACCTGGCCTGACCTGGCATCAGGGCCCTTCCTGGTTAACTCTCACAGAGACCACCCCCCTCAAGTGGGCAAGGAATACAATAGTACCCATGCTACTGTCCCAGGACTAGAAACCCCTTTCTCCGCTCAGAGCATATGTCATCTCTTGGTAAAGGGATGGAGACACCATCTAACTTTGGATGAATCAACCTCTAATGAACTAATGAAACAGCCACAAAAATCTCAGAGTGCTGGTGCTCGTAGGTCCCAGGGATACATGCAAAACCTGAGAAAAGAGAAATCAGAATCATACCGAGCCTGCGTATATTGTGAGCCTACGCTGAAGCATGAATTTGACCTGTGTTACCATTTTTTGAAAGGTCTAACATAGAACCAGTTGTTTCTCTTGACTCTCAACTTCCTTTTTCTATTGGATCCTTTTCTGCTTCAGAAATTCCTCTGTTCTTTAGGGACCCTTTTGCCTTTGTCTTAAAGGGAACTTCTTAAACAGTGATAAGACAGCCCAAAAGTACAGTTAGCCCCACTTCTTTTTTATTTTAATTCTTTATTTTTAAAATTATTTAAGTGGACTCCACACTCAGCATGGAGCCCAGTGCGGGGCTTAAACTCATAACCCTGAGATCAAGACCTGAGCTGAGATCAAGAGGCACTTAACTGACTGATCCATTCAGGTGCCCCAGCCTAACTTTTAATTACCAATCTTTTTTAGTATATAACATGCCTACAATATTATTAATTATTAATTCCTCTTATTTCCTCCTCTTGACTGTTAATCTCTATTGCTGCTCCTTAAACAAATCAGGAACACAACTTCCTACCCCAGGACCTTTGCACTTCCTAATTTCTTCTTACTGGGACCTTTTTCTTCAGAGTTCCACCAGCTCACTCCTTCATCTGCTTCAGATCTTTGTTAAATATCACCTTTCCAGCCACCATCTTTAAAATTGTACCCATTTCCCTTCCTTTACTTCCTATCTTTCTCCTGATTTAATTTTCTCCTTTGCACTTACTATTTTTAGAAATACTATGCATTTACCTGTTCATCTATTTGATAGTGATATCTCTTACTAAAATCTGTCTCTGTAAGGAAGGGATTTTGTCTTTTACCCCACTGTTGTATTCCTGGATTTTAGAACAATGGATACTCAAAAAATATTTGTTGAATGAAATAATAAATATATTGTTACCATTTATTACCATTTCCAAAGTTGCTATTTTATTATTATTATTATTATTATTATTATTATTATTATTTTATAATGTTATTATATACTGGGGAGCCTGGGTGGCTCAGTCAGTTAAGTGTCTGACTCTTGATTTTGGCTCAGGTGATGATCTTGGGGTTGTGAGATCAAGGCCAGTGTTGGGAGCCTGCTTGAGATTCTCTCTCTCCCTCTGCCCCTACCCTGCTCTCTCTTGTCTAAAATAAATGAATAAAATATTAAAAAACAATAATGTTATTATGTACTCTTGAACTAAAAGAGTAAAACCAAGAGCTCACAGACGTGTTCTTCTTTTTTCTTTACACCAACCCTATGAGGTATAACTTCTATAGATAGGAAAACTAAGGCTCAAAGACATGAAATTTGATATGCCAAGGTCTCGCAACTAGTAAATGACAAAACCAGGATAAGAAATGAGATTCTTCTGACCTAGGGACCATACTCTCAAGCACTGAGAGGGAAGAACACTGGGGAAGTAGGAAGGTAGGCTCCCAAGGGCCTCTTTGGGTTCCTGGGAAGCTTCCAAAACCACCCCAGGAGACCAATGGAACACTCTTCCATTCTAGGTGACAAATAATATTATTATATTATTGCCATCTTTTCTTAATTCTGACTCCCATATAATCACTTTTTAAAAAGAAATGCTTCTTCTGGCTCTCAAGCTTGTTTTGAGCTGTGTTTGATATTCAACTGGTGCAGCCAACTGGTGACCAGTATTAGTTAAGCATTGGTTCACAGGAGTAGTTCTACTCTTGATTTTTCTGCCCAATTTCTGCACTAAAAAACTAAGAGAGATATTTTTGCAAAGTGTTTCCAGGTCCCAGTTAGTTCCCCACCTTCTCTGAGAAATAGGTCAAAGAAAACATTTGGACAGATTCTCGAAGTTCTTCTCCAAAGCAGGATTTGATGTGCTTTGAATTATTTAGTAGGATTTAGGCCAAAGAAAGCTTTGTACTCTCAGGTTCTATTTGTAAGGAATCTGGGGAATGAGTCCTAAGTTCCTTTTCTATATCCTAGGAAATCCAGTGGAAACTCTTCTTCAAGTCTTGGAGAAATGGTATCAGGGACATTTCGAGCAACACCCACATCAACAGGTGAGGGTTTTAGTTTAACTCTTTTTAATGGAACGCTTTTCTATCATAGTATTTGAACATAGAGAAAGTATTTTTACCAATTTGGAAATTATTTTGAGTCTTGATTTAAAAGAGTCTTCTACTTAATATTTCATTGCTCATTTGCTTTCTATAGTAATTTGATTCTATTTAAAGGGTACTTATGATACTAAAAATTCAGATCATTATAATCTAATTTTGAAAAATCTTATTTACCCCCCAGAGCCAGTAACTATCCATTGTGCAATTTAATCTGAAGGAAGTTCATTATTCCACCCAAGAACCTAACAGGCATTAAGATGGTGAAGGCCAATTAAAAAGGAAAAAAAAAAGTTGTAGACTCTCAAGAAAATGCTCTGTTCCAGTCTTCACAGGGAACTTTAGGATGGTACACTGGGTTTTAGAGATTGGGAGGTTTGAAGCAGATAATGGGCCCGGATGACCTCATTTCTATTTGGACAGCAGATAACCGAGCCCTGGAATTAATGGAAATGAAGGGACAGCAGTGACCCAGTCAGGAGTTGTTACATATATGGTAATTAGGGAGGTATTCAAGCAGGTAGAATTTTTTTTCTACCACATTCCCTGACTCCTGTAGTCAAATTGATGCTGGCCCAGAATTGATGCTGCATTAGGGCATCTGGTATCACCAACTCAGAAGGACAAGTTCAAGGTCCATCCTGGCCTACCATAACTGCAGTACAGGTGATTGGCTCTGGAGTAGTTCTGAGTACTGGGTTCTTGGTGTGGATCCTTCCTGATCTCCCAGTCTCTGAACTGAACTAGGTCTCTGGTTGTCCCCAAATGGACTGGACCTTCTTGGATGACCACAAAACTAGTTGAATCAGATATCAAAATATTTTGCCTCATCCCCATTTGTTCGACATTTAGGTCATTGCAGCTTTGCACTATTACAAACAAGAAAGAACAGGAATAACCGGTTATAAATTTATTTGAAATTAACAACAACATAGTAGGAAAAATGTGTCAATATCCTAGAAAGTGGGCAGAAAATTTACAAACATATAAAGGACTGCAAAATTTTCTCATGGTTCATCAAAATGACAAATCCAAAAATAACTAGTGATTGAAATGAGGATCATTTTTACCCAAATTGTTATTCTTAGTTCCTTTTTATGAAATTTTATTTGTCCACGTTGTTCTCAGCTACATTGTGTGCTGTGTCCAGCAGGGAACATCCTACGGCCCATGGCTGGCCCAGAACTTCCGGTGTTGTTATGAAGTCCACCCTCCATACCCAACATGAAATCAGGATGAGGTCATTTGCACAAGAAGGAAATTGTCTCATTTTTCTCATTTTTCTTCAAAATTGTCTTGTCCAGAATGAAATAATAGAGTAGTGCTCTGCAGAGTGGGTAATTGTGAGATGATGAGAATTATAGGGACAAATCGGTACATTCTTCCATCTTTTAAAATCATGTACTATCATTTACAGAGATTACGTATTTTGATATGGCTCTCATTGTTGTCTTTTAGCAAAACAGAAGCAAAAAGTGGTAAGTTGTGTTTCTTTTTAAATCTACTGCTAAGGTTTCTATCCATACATGCCTGCATTGCTCCATTTCAGTGACCCAAATGGCTATAGAATAAGGGATGAACCTCCTTGGTGGGGACCTGTGGTAACCATTTCTCGTTTGACCTGAGAATTATGAATGCTGTGGCTGTTGAGGAGGTGTGCTGAGCCTTACCTTGTCACGCCTGTCAAATCATCTTTTTCAGACGGAGCACATTCCTCCTTACGATGTTGTGCCATCCATGCGTCCAGTGGTGTTGGTGGGGCCGTCACTAAAGGGTTATGAGGTACAAATACCAGTCTGTTATGTTTCAGTTGTTGACCAAGACACTAGGAGACAGCTGTTGGGCGCTTGGCCCTCCAGGGTCTGCTCACATAATGGTACTGAAGGAGGCAGCTCCCCTCCTGTGAAGACGTGTGGAGCAGTGTGGGGCTTTTGTGACCCTTCGCTCTTGCTTCCTTCTCTGGCACACTTCTCACTTTATATGTATCTTTTTGTTTAGAAATATATCCCTTAAAACGTCTATAATGGAAAGTTCTGGTCAGCTGTTTGCCCTGCATTAAATTCAAAGTGAAGGAAATTATCTGTCTCAACCATTCCCATTACTGTTAGAAATAACCAATTATGGGGGCACCTGGCTGGCTCAGTGGTAGAGCATGCAACTCTTGATCTCAGGGTCATGAGTTCAAGCCCCACGTTGGGCATAGAGCTTACTTAAAAAAAAAAAACAAAAAAAACACAAAGAAATAACGGAGTATAAACATCACAAGAGAACACGTGCTAGCAAACCTAAACCCCCAAAGCACCAACAAATCTCACCTTGCTGGGTGTTCAAGATGATGGTCTATCCCACAAAATATTTCTCTGCTTATTTATTTTAAGGACACAGAAGGAAAAAACCTCCACTGAAAGTATTAATGAACTTGTTTAGAGATTAAACATCACCACGTAAAAAGAAAAGAGTAAGGACTTAGATGCCCTACATTTCAGATGTTGCCATTCTGACTCTGCTAGCATAGATAAGAATGGGTGGAGTGGAACATTAAAATCTGAAGGTGGGTAACCTCCAGGGTACCATTCCCACTGAGCTAGGACAATATCTGGCCCATAGTAGTTTCTTAATGCTCACTGATGGAATGAATTAATGAATCTATTTATGGCAGATCTAAGAATCCAATTCCCTTCTCCTTCCCCCTGCCTGTCTCCCTCCCTCTTCTCCCCTTCCTTTTTCCCTCTCAGTGGAGAACGTCAGAGGAAAAGCAGGAGAGTGATCTGTAGAAATGGAAGATTTCTACCAGCAATGGGGTGGCGGAGTCCAGGGCTGGCCAGAGTTGCTCTGCTCCACGTTGGAAGCAAGTGCCACTCAGGGGAGACAAGGACAGGCAGCAAAGCCAGCCCATTGTGGTCTCTTGGCAGCAGTTCTGTCACCTAAGAAGGGAAGGGGGTCAGCCTTGGGTCTAGTGAACACTGCTGGTTCATTCCTCAACACCCTAGAGGGCAGCCATGGGGGAAATTTGAGTAACTGGAAGTGGTTAAGCATGAAAATACCTCCCACTGTAACCTATCCTTTGGAGACAACAGGCTGCGTAAGGTCTTTGCTCAAAGTGCCCTTTCCTTCCACCTCTCTCACCTCTGACTTCTCTCTCTCTGTCTCTGTCTCTGCGTGTGTTTGCCTCATTCTTTTTTTCTCACCTCTGCAAAGGTAACAGACATGATGCAGAAAGCCCTCTTTGATTTCCTGAAGCACAGGTTTGATGGGAGGTGAGACATACAGATGTTTTTGTATTTTTATTTTCCTTTAACTGAACATGTATGATATAAATTGATTTGTGGATCTGTTTCCAATGATTGCAGAAGTTCTCTAACTAAAACTTAACTCAGTATTCAGGGAAGAATACAATGAAAGAATTCTGAAGATATGAAGTTATAAAGTATAGAATTGAATCCCCAAGGGAGAAAGGACCTTGAGAAGGAAAATAATCCATTTGTTTTATATTAAATGTATGTGTTTGTCTTTATTTCCTTGATTGTTAGTGAATTCATACCAAACTTGTTTTATGAAAAATATTAATGAAAATACAGACTATTTCTGATAAATGTGGTGGCTCACTGGTGAAGTTGGTAGTAATACTTGGGAACTGTGCCTGCATGTGTTTGTGTGTGTGCGCACGTGTGTGCACATACGAAGGTATAAAGTACTGAGTTTCCTCACTAGAAAAGTGCAAGAAGTGTTTTCACCATAAGCTTCCCAGAGTGACTATTTGTAGGGAATAATACTTGTTTGGATGCTTAGTTCTGGGTTTATTTTACCAATAAATCACCTCGTATTTTATTGGTTTATTTTGTATGTACCCTATGATTAACACAGCTCAGTCTTTAGCCCTCAAATAATCTTATCATTTAAGTTTTGTGAAAAATGTCTGAAACAGTTTCTGTGTTTTGCAGAGAAATGGTAAAAAGCCCGTCTTGACTCAATACTAAGTACTGAGCTCCTTCACAATGCAGAATGCACTCCTTGTAAAATAACCACATTGCAAATTCTGAAGACTTACTAGAAATGAAGAAAATGTACATAGTGTGTACTGAGAAGTATGGGTACATGCATCCAACTTACCAAATACTTTTAAAAATAGCTTCAAATAGGTTTTTTAAAAATATGGTATTTTAAGGAGAAAAGTAAACCTAATAATGCTTTAAGCACAAACTGTATATATTTGTCAAAGGAAAAGCCTTCTGGGTAATTGTGTTTAAAATATTCATTAGTTTCTGGGACTACATACAAAGAAACTGAAATTTTGGTTCCAGTCGTTGAGATTTTAGTTCAAGGAATGAGAATGCTTCAGTGCCGTTATGTGAATGGCCTGGTACATTAGTAGAATGCCAGGCTGCCTTCATAAATAGACCCCAAAATGTGTAATGATTCAGACCCAGTGGGAGCTTAACTGTTGCTCATTTACCAGTTTGAAGCAGGCGTTCCTCAGCTAGGCAGAGGGGGTTAACTCGGGAGGGGAGGATGGACAGAAAGTTTGTCCCACCCATCATTTGGTGTCCTTGGCCTGAGGGTGGTCTCTCCAGTCAGTGGGTGGGAAGAGGTGCCCGTCAGCCTGGAGCTGACGCACACGGATTCTCACTTTTTATTGGTCAGAACCCGGTCATGTGGCCATGCTGAGTTGCAAAGTAGGCTGGGAAATGTAGTCTAACTATGTGGCCAGGAGGAGGAGGAAATAGATTTTGTTGAACAGTCTCTGCCACGTTCATCTAGTGGACTCAAACACTTACTAAGAAAGCCGTGGGTTTAACCTGTTCTTCCTCCTCCCCCCCTCTTTTTTTAAAAGAAAATAGGCAGAGGATGAAAGAGTTTCAAACGAAACAATAAAAAGCACTAAATATTAGAGTTGGAAGGAAATATAAGAGTTCTTTTATTGTCATCGCTTTTCTTTTTTTTAATTAACATAGAATGTATTATTTGCCCCAGGGGTACAAGTCTGTGATTCATCAGTCTTACACACTTCGCAGCACTCCCCATAGCACATACCCTCCCCAGTGTCCATCACCCAGCCACCCTCTCCATCCCATCCCCTTCCCCTCCAGCAATGCTCAGTTTGCTTCCTGAGATTAAAAGTCTCTTACGGTTTGTCTCCCTCTCTGGTTTCATCTTGTTTCATTTTTTCCTCCCTTCCCCTATGATCCTGTCTTGTTTCTCAAATTCCTCATATCAGTGAGATCATATGTAATCTCTTTTCTTCAGCAACCACAAACAGATGGATAAACTGCTTTGGTTTGAGCATGTTTGGTAATTGGGGTTTCACTTCTTGAAAAAGCATTGCAAAGAGCGGCTGAACTCTGATTCTTTAACTTGATAGCAGTAGCCTTGGTCTTGCTCGCTAATGACTGGGCCATAACCCTTACCTTCATGCAGCAATCTGTGCATTGGAGGCAGCTAACATGCATGGCTTCATCTTCTTTGTTATTGGCCACACACACACACACACACACACACTCATACTTTCTCTACCTATGCTTAAAGTTGTGTGGTTTTAACCTTTGGTGTCTTTATCTCAGGAAGTTCTGAGCAGTGCCTCATGAGGCGACCCCATAATAGCCCTCCAGCTGAACAAGTTCCTTCCCATAACACAGCCTGTTTGCATCACGTTGTTTCTGTCACCGCATAGCATCCTTATAAACAACAATATTTTTAAGGGTCTGAAAGGTAGGACCTATGGAAATAGAAGGAGGGAACTATTAAAATTTAACAAAGAGAAAGTGAGTGGCTTGATTGTTTTCAAGAATGAAGCATCTGAGGTTTTTCTTCAATTTTCAGGCCCAGAAAGAGGACATGCATTTGATGGTAACAGGAGAGATTTGTTCTGAGTCAGCTAGAGTTGCTGCATCAAGCATTTACACACACTATTGAAGACGGTTTTAGTAGAAATAGAATTAAAATGTCAATGCCAAGTGTTCCATACGGTCTGATGGCACAGCCGAGGATCTGGAGATAGGGGGAAGATTCAAACAGCCTCAAAAGGAATAGCCAGAGAGAGAGACTCGGCACTGGAGAGCTCTGATTTATGGCAGTGTTTGGAAAAGATAGAGGGTAAAGTTGGGAGGAGCAGAGTGGACTTGCTTTCAAATAATAAGAGGCCAGTGCAACAGAAAAAAGCAGTAATGAATTCATTAGCTGGAAGAATGTAGAGACTGTGATAAGGAAAAAGCAACAGGCTTGTAGCCTCACCCTCCCTCCAACACTTCTGCTGTGTGGGAAATAACCTTACATCCTGAGCTATGACAATCTGCCGTATTATGTTTTACCAATTAATAAAGGGAGAGAAAACAACAAATAGTCTTTAACTGAAATCAGCCAAGAGAAAATTACACAGAAGGCTTTAGCACAGTGATACAGCATAAACAGTATGTTCTGGTGGAAACCTACTCCATGTTTAATTGGCTGTGATGGTTAGACCAAAGAGTCAAGGGAAAGTCTTATTTTTCAGAAAGAGCCAAAAAGGGATCCACTGGCTAAAAGGCTCTGTTCAGTACTGTTTTTCAGATTCTGGTTTGAAAATAAGTCAACAAATTGGATCCAAGTCCAACAGCTTGATGGTTACAAAATCATAGACTTATACCCTTTTTTTAATACCTCAAATTATTTGAGTCTGTTGAGAGCTACTGATTACAGGTTTATTGCTGTAGCTGCTACTGTAGGGCTTACCTGTGATATATGTAAGAAAAACGAAAAGCATAGGACAAACTAGTGCCTGGGGGGTCTTTGTCCATGTGGATATCCACACGTATTGGCAGTTCCTAGGCACAGTCATAAATTGGGTGAGCCTAAAGAGCTGGCGCAGTGGCGTCAGCCTGCTGAACACCCAGGACGCAACGTGACGTGGAGCTTTTCGCTCTTCATTTGACACCACCAGCGTTCACGGGGGATCATCCTTTGGGAAGAGGTTTGTTCAGCTGGTTGAATATACCATTCATAGTCTGAACAACAGGCAGTCAAACCAACTGCCATTTGTGGTCCTAGGCTAATCATTTCAAATTCCAATGAAATTGTTGCTTTATGCATTTTGACTGCTAAGTCATCTCTATGGCAGTTGTGCAACACTTTGGAACAGACATGATCATGGCCAAAAATCTTAAACGAACATCCTGTAGCCTGTATAGAGAAGATCTAAGGTTAAAGGAAGTTGTTGGCCAAAGGCTACTCAAAGGAAAAAAAGGGTTTAAGAAAGAATTTGAAGAAAACAGGCTGAAGATACAACTTCAGAGACTCAGAGAGGTAGTATTTATTTATAAACAGCAGTGGGCACCCTTGATGGTATCACACAGCACCCAAGGCATGGCAGAATGAAAACAACTTGTAACTGCAGTCAACAAATGGAAAAAAACACCACAGCGCCTTCTGTTTCAAAATCAATATCACCCTCTTATCATCTCCTTCTACCATTTTCTCTTTAAATGCAAACTCATCAGGGGTCGAACACTAGAGACATGTAATTGAACACTTGAATGCCAAACATGAATATTTAAATTAGCAGGTCGTGATTATAACCTGTCTGACCTGATTCTCTCACCCCCAAAGTATATATAAATTTCATGGATTCTGGGGATAGGAGAGTTCATGGTCAACTGCTAATTTCTAAGGATAGAATATAAAGAAACTGTCCTCTTTTAGTCTTTAAATCTCCAATAACTATCTTATAAACATTATGTATGTGCCAATCAACATAGGACATTATGAATAATTATTTAGCAAAGTACTTTTATATATTACCTTGTTTGCTCCCACTGACAGTCCCCTGAGAAAGTCTGGCAAAGCTGTCATCACCATTGTATTGATTAGGATACTGATGCTCGAAAGATGACCTGACTTGTTTATGGTCACACACCCAGCAAGAAGAGCAAGATCCAGGGCACCTGGGTGGCTCAGTGGGTTGAGCCTCTGCCTTCGGCTCAGGTCATGATCTCAGGGTCCTGGGATCAAGTCCCGCATCGGGCTCTCTGCTCCGAGGGGAGCCTGCTTCCCCGTCTCTTCTGCCTGCCTCTCTGCTTACTTGTGATTTCTTTCTGTGTGTGTCAAATAAATAAAATCTTAAAAAAAAAAAAAAAAAGGAGAAGAGAAGATCCATGGAGAACACTCAGATCTGTGTAGGCTCTCCATCCCAATTCTCTTGACAGTGTACTGTTCTGTTCTTTGGCATGGTCTTCTCTATGAATACTAGCAGTTTTTTTTTTTTTTAATAATGCCCTAGAAGCATTGCATATTAGATGTAGCAAAGATAGAGTACAGAAGGACCTGGTAGCTGTTCTGAATGAACATGGAAATACTAATTGTTTTTGAATGAATGAGTTATAACTAAAAGTAGCATCTTTTGCAGAAAACTAATACTCATTGGTCATGATAGATGACAGCAATTATGATGAATTCCAAAACAGAAATAAAGAATAAATGGAATTCAGATTTGCTTAGATTCAGAGAACAGTTTTTGCTAGTTTTCAGTGACATTTGCTACTACCAGTTCGCTGAGGAACTGAACTTCTGTTAGTGTTTACCTACCAGTCAGCAATCACTGACACTGTCACGGAAAAGTTTCCTAGGGAACTTTTAAAAGATATATCTCAAATAAGATGCATGGAAGTACTGAAAGACACTTGGGGGAATGAGTACGGCAAGAAAAGAAGTAGAAAGGGCATTGTTCTAAGAAAAAAAAATAGTAAATATATAACTAGTATACAAAATATATTTTTAAAGTATATAAAACTTTAAAAGTATATAAACTTCAATTGTATTGCTAGGAAGCCTTTTACAAAAAATAGTTTGGATTTGGTGTCTGATTTTGGTAATAGTAAGCATCTTTGTATGGAAAATAGAAGCCTCTCTTTTGTCCTATTGAAAGGTTTCTGGGGCAGTGTCTGTCTTGTCCTGAGCTCTTCCATGCATGCATGTGTACTGTTACTAAGAAAAAACTTGTAATAATACTTGCCAAGTGGCCGAATCTTGTTTTCTACTCAGGTTGTGATCTCAGTGGGGTCTTGGGATCGAGCCCTGCAATGGGCTCCATGCTTGGTGGGGAATCCATTTGGGGATTCTCTCTCTCCCGCTCCCTGCCACCCCCCTCCCCAGTCTCTAAAATAAATAAATAAATCCTTTTAAAAAATATATTTGAAAAATAAACTTAGATTAACAAATTTGTTGGTATTTTGTTGACAAATAAAACAAGAAAAAGAACCTTATTACCCATACCTTTTCCTATTTGTGAAATACACAAAGCAGTTTTTTTTTCTGTGTATGTGTGTATTATTGTTTGTTTGTCTGCTTTTTTTCTAGAACTTGTAAAAACTTTTAAAACTCTGTGTGTGTTTGAAAATAGCTTCGTAAACATGTTTAAAATCCAGAAAAAATAAGACTATGCACCTGTTGGTAATCCTTTGAAATTTTAGGAAACAAAGGTTACTATTTGGCTTATAGAGAACTAGCAAACTTGATCTCCCTTATGCAGAACAAACATTTTAGGCCCTCCTAAAGTCTTTATTCTAGAAAGTTGAATTCTGTTCCTAAATTAACCCAATTCTCTCCAGTCATAGATTTGATTTGCTCTGGAACTTGACTCCATGTTTCTAACCAGCAACTCTATTCTTAAAACAACAGACAAACAGAAACACAAAAATAAACAAGCAAACCCTATCTGTAAATTAAAGAGCTGGGAGCACAGGACTGCCCGTGAGATTCCATACCTCAGGTTGCAAAGGCCAACTGAGTAATGGAGACTGAGACATGAGATTCACTTGACTTTAACCTCACTGAAATCCTGACCACCTCTCTGCACATGGCCAAGGTCGACTGCATCTGCCCTTGACAATTTGGCTTGCATCTGGGCATGCAGGGTTGCTAGAGAAGAAAACTGAAACTAAGAGACTTATGAGTCAGGTGACTAAGTACTGCCTGGTGTTTGGGGGCCTGGGTTTTAGGCCTTCTTAGTCTCTCACTAATCATGTGGAACTTCCCCTCTGTGTTTCAGTTTTCTTGGCAAAATGAAGAAGTTGTACTTGACCCATGTTTTCCAATGTCTTTTAGCAGCTGAACAACTTTTTACAATGAAATCATATATAAAGCCCCAATGTAGAAAACAGAAAGGCAGAGGTGTTTGCCTGGCATGGGCAGAGGGAACTCTGGCCCTCTGCCAACTCAGCTTCCCTTCAGTGTTCTCAGTGACCTGGGATATTTCACAGAACCCTTGGTTTCTGCAGAAGATAATTTGAAGATGCCTCAAATAATTTATTAGTGCTTAAAAATTCTAAAAAATGTAAAAATTTAAAACGTACCATCTACAGCTTATAAATACAATATAATGACATAAGAAGGTGCTTTGCGTTAAAATGACATCCGAACTTTTGTACAGCCTGTTGCTTTAAACAAGCTATTTCCAGTCATTTGTGAAAAGGAGTATTTTAAATTTTCCTTAAGACTTTGGGTCACTGAAGTCAGGTAAAGGGTCTCCTAAGAGGGCTGATGGTATACCAAAACAGGTGTGAGATGACAGGTGGCTCAGCTATTGTTTACAACTCTCCCCTGCCCCAACCCCCAAAGGAATATAAAAACGAAGGAGAACGGCTGCACTGAGCACAAAGGGAAGGGACACTACTCTTTTGTCTCCTTTCCAGAACTCTGCCAAGCTCTGAAAATGAGAGTGGAGAAAAGTCTGTGGTGGGAGTGGTGGCTCAGAGTGGCATTCTTTGCATTCTCCAGATAGATAATCATCTGAAATTGATCAATGCCAGTTTAAAGTAAAGAACTGTAAAACTGTAAATTCCAGAGATCCTTATGGGATCAATCATATGCAGATAGACGCCTCTTTGTTCATTTGTGGTGTCTGTGCTTTATTCTTTTGCGTAACTGCAGGAAACTTTCTGACTTACCAGAATCCTTGCACAATTCTCATATTGCCCTCAACTCTAGTGTCTCACGGCTCCCCACTTTATGCATTCAAAGTCTTAAGCAAATATACTGAAGAATCTTGTGCATGCAGATGAGAAACCATATTTTCCATATTCTTAGAAATGAAAGGTTTCTTTGGGCCTGGGGGTAAATGCTTCTTGTATCATGATGTAACTGTTGAGCACCAGGAATGCAACATCGCTACCAACTGGTTGAGTGTCGCTGATGAAGATGAAGAGGGCTTTCCCCTTTGGCCAGCAGCATTGATAGGCCTGGGTAGAACATTCGTAGTTCCTGGAGGTCTTGTTCAAGAGCAAATCAAACGTGAATTGAAAGGAAACTGTATCGCTGCTTCCCAAAAAGAGCATGGTTTATTCATATGTTTTGATTCCCTCCTGGTATGGTGTGCATTATGAAGAGAATTTGGCAAGGTAGGTAATAGTGAAGGAAGAGCTGCATTTTTAACAACAGGTTTTTGTTTGGGTTTGGGTTTTGGTTAAATAGTCAAAACCTTCTTCCATTCTACCCAGCTTATATTTTAATACCTGCCAAAGCCTGTTTAAAATACTTGTGGCCAATGTTTATTATACTGTGGTTGTAGTGCCGTATGTAGAGTGGTTATTAAGTACTGTGGTTATAAATCACTTGAGAGCCCCACGACCTTTTTTACTGGCTTGTTCTGTTCTGTGTTCCTATTCATAGGATATCAATAACAAGAGTGACAGCTGACATTTCTCTTGCTAAGAGGTCTGTCCTAAATAATCCCAGCAAGAGAGCAATAATTGAACGTTCGAACACTCGGTCCAGCTTAGGTAAGATGTTCAAATGTGGTACTTGTCCAAGCTATACTTTCAGAGCGGGATGGCACATGTTTCGTTTGTGAATGTCTTTTCCAGTTTGCTCCCCATTCAGAATGGGGAAGTGCCGATTAACTGAAGAGAATGCTATCCATGGAAAAGAAGGGAACGGAGTCCTACAGCAGCCAGAGCCTCCGCTCTCAGCTCTAGTCAATTAGTTCATTAGTAGTCTGGTGGGAAGAATCCTCATTGGGCTCTCCTGGTGTGTTACTGCCTAACCACACAAAAACCACTCACCTCCACTCTGCCCCAGCTTCTCAATGAGGCTAATGGTATCTGTCATACCTGAGTCACATCTGACATGAAAAGAAATGAGATGTTCAACCTTCTTGGATCTTTAATAGAAAGCTAGATAATACGGTCTTTGTGAATAATCCCATCATTAAGTGGAAATAGCCATGAGCATTAAATGTGTCTTTCCTGGAGCACAGTCAGAAAGCATTCTGAAATTCACCATGATGGAGAAGGGGAAAACGCCCTATTGTTACAAGATAGCGGGACGCTTGTCTCAAGGAGTCAAAGAATGAGTCTAGAGATACAAAAGGGAGAAGTGAAAGTTTATTAAGTGAAGGTGAGAACAGAAAGGAGAGGGGGAAAACTCTCTAAAGTGAGAGAGGTCCCAAATGGGTTGCCACTGGGGGTTTTCAGTAGTGGTCTTTTATTGAGAACTGACTGGGGAACTTGAATCTTGACGTCTCTATCACTGCTGGCACTATGTTTACTTTTTCTTTGAAGTTTGCTAATTTTCAGTGGCCCAGCTGTAGCTGTTACAGAGATATTTCTGACATTTAAGACAAATGAGGTAGACTCATTAGTCTCGTTATATTCCCTCATTTCTGGTTTTGTACGCCTCAGCATTTTCCACATCTGGGATTTCTGTGAGCCTGAACACATAGCCCCCATGTGAGCCTAGTCACATAGTCCCCTACCTATCTCTCCTTACCTAGCCCCACCTGTCCCTTACTCAGTATATGCTTAGCTACTTTATAAAGCCATGTGTGAATGGGGCAGTGGAAGATGGAATCACCATCCACAGAAACAAGTCCATGCTGCTGGGAAATCACAACGTTCATCTCAAAGCCTGTGTTGTGCTTTTTGTGATTGCCAAGAGTGGTATAGTCCACTTGTAACTTTCTATGAGTCTCTCCTGCATTCACTTCCTGCGGGCAGTTTGTTTTACTTCCCCCTTCCTCGTGGGCAGGGTAGTAAAGATAGGGGTCTTCTATGTTCACAACATCTTAAACTACTGAGATGATGATAGAAAACAAACAAACAAAAAAATCCAGGATAGCTTGCACACCCAAACAACCCAACAAGAGTTTGTTGGAGCCTGAATCTTGACCCTGAGCCAAGAAGTGCACAGATTAGAAAGAGGCTACAAAGTATCATCTCTATATTCCTGGCATGGGATTGGCACAGGATAATTGTTCAATGAATATTTGTTGGCTGGTTGCTTTAGGAAAGAATGTTAAACATACCAGTGGAATAGTTGTCTGTCCTTGTGAGGGCAGGATCCTGGACATCAATGGTTCTTTCCTTAGCGCAGCATTTAGATCCATCACATACAGAGTAAAACACTCTTAAAGACACAGTATTTTGACCTTAACGAAGTAACAATGCAAGAGTTGATGATGATGAATCATATTAGGTGACTGACTGAAGTTAAATGTTGCGGGAGACAAGGATGCCAAATTAGATTGAACATTTCTTAAACAAGCATCCACTGTCTGTTCTCCTATCTTCCACTGTCCTTTTCACTCCACAAAGTGCCTTTGACTTTTAATTACTCCTTCCTCTGATGTATAATGAGAGGTTTAAAAACACTTAAGCGCGGGGCGCCTGGGTGGCTCAGTGGGTTAAGCCGCTGCCTTCGGCTCAGGTCATGATCTCAGGGTCCTGGGATCGAGCCCTGCATCGGGCTCTCTGCTCAGCAGGGAGCCTGCTTCCTCCTCTCTCTCTACCTGCCTCTCTGCCTGCTTGTGATCTCTCTCTGTCAAAAAAAAAAAAAAAAAAAAATCTTAAAAACACTTAAGCGCATACATGAGGTTGCTGACTCTAACCATCTACCCTAACCAAGGGTCTCATGGATAATCCTAGAAGTCATTTGGCATAATCCAGTCACATGTTTCAGTCAGTGGAGTGGAGTTGGCGTAAATAGTGAGGACAAAACAAGGTGAATGTCAGTTTCCTGACTTTTCCCTTTGCTTTGCAAATTCATATACCTACAACCATTAGAATTAATTTAATGGCCATCTGTTATAATAACCACTTCGTGAGCCACCTATGTCCATTCGCCTGCTTGTTAATGCATATGTTTATTGTTATGTGCCACGCATTATGCTAGACTGTGGAAGTACAAACATAACTAAGAAAAAGTATCTTACCCATAAGCCACTGGGAAGAAGGGGCAGAGGGTTAAATGCTGTTTGACAATGGAATTAGGAGCCAAGAGCTAGGGGTATAAAGAAAGAAGGGTAGGGAGTAAGAGGTGTCAGAGAAGACTTTGAAGAAGTTATATTTGAGCTGGTCCTTCAAAGCAGACAAGAATGTGCAAAGATGTCAACATGTAAAAAACATTGCTGGATAGATAATCAAGTAGACTGTGCAGAGAATGCTTAGAAAAGGGGAGTGGGTGCCATGGTTTGGGAGCAACAGGGGAAGAGACTGTAAACGTAGGCTGAGGTCAGTGTGTTAGGGCTCTAAGTATGCCTTGCTAAAGAAACCTCCAAAGTAGACTCTATGAAATGTGAATTGTAAATTCAATTACATCCAAAATGTTTTCCGCAGTCAAATTTGGAAATTTGGATTAAACAGTTGGCCATCTTTACTGCAAGACTTCCGAGAGCCATTAAAATAGAAAGGGCAATGCATGTTTGAAATTCCAAAAGAAACTAATAGAGCCTGCGATATTTTGCAAAAAACTAACTAAATAAATAAAAATAAAATAAAAATCTCTTTTTCCCCTTAGGATATCTTAAGGGATTAGTGTTTGAGGATACTCACTTTGGGAAATATTGCCCTGAACCCAAAGGAGCCGTTGGAGTAGTTTAAGCATTTGGGTATAGGAAAGGTCACAGGTGGCAGAGATGCTGGAGAGGGATGGGTCTAGACTGGTCATGGTCAAGTTATAGAAGTGTTCATTGAGGTTCTTCCAGCATCATAGTCCATGACTTCTCAGAGCCCCATTTGTCTGGAATAAGATCATGAGGAAATGTCCATTGGAATCCTCTGAGAATCAGCATGGGAAGTCAAGATTGCTGGGTTTGCTTAATTTTTTTTTTTTTTAAGAAAATGGACTATGTAGATATAAATGCTGTTCTCTTTCTTAGTCTGTGTATTGAATTCCAAATATATATTATCCAAATATGGACTCACTCTGGTATATAGTATGGCCTCTGCAGCCTTCTGGCTTGCTTGCCCAAGCACCTCTCCACTCATGCCAGAATGTCCATTGCCTAAGAGTTTTGTGTTGGCTAAGCCTTGGATGTTCTTGCCCTCTGCACAGGTCAAAAACCATGTTTACCTCATTGCTTATGCAGAGTAAATAAGGCTAGGTATTTCTGTCGTATTTACACAGTGTGCCTCAAGGGTTCTTTGTAAGAGAGCAGTCCATTTTGCCTCACTACCTTTTTGCTACTCCAGGAAGCACTGTATTCAGATTTGAAACTTAAAGTAATGCAGGCTTGTTCTACAATAGTCCTGGCCAGGAGTTAAACTAGTTGCAATTTAATGACAACAACAAATGGCGAACATGTTCCAACAGCCAGAGGCTGAAATCTGCTACCCTACAAATACACTTTATTTACTGAGCTTCTCTCATAAGAAAAACCCTTTTTAACTGTTTTTGACACATGAGAAAAAAAGGGAAAGGTATGTTATTATTATTAACAAATGTAGTGTGTGATTTCAGAAGAATTTTGCAAATGAGCCTAATTGTCCAAATTCTTTACATAAATGTCTTGGGAGCTAGTCACTTTTCAAAGCAGTATAAAATCTTTCAGACCATTGGGATTGGATCATATGAAAAATAATAGTTATGTTCATTCTTGAAATTCCTATTTCTAATACAAATCATGCATTAAACATCAGAGATTTTGTGGGAAGAATTGTAGGCTATTATGCAAAGCCCATGAAAGTAGAATTACAAGATAGTATTGAGCATTTATACTCCTGCACACCCTTGTTAAGGAAGGGAGGATTTTTTGGTGGGTGACGTGAACTTGAATATATACTGGGTAAACAAAACAAATCGTGGCTTTCTGGTAGAAAACCTTTTCAATGAGTATATTTAGAGCAACATCACCTCTTTCCTAGACCATATTTGAAGTGATTTATATTAGGTAACTTTGTCTACTCTGTGTAATTTAAACAAGATTACAACATTGCTAGGTCATGCCTATAATATATAAGCCAAAAATAAAAATAAGTAAAAAGCAAAACAAGATCATCTCTCTGAAAATTAAGTAGTCTAATTCAGACTTTGGACATGACCCAATAAATCAGATAATTTATAAAATATATATGAAAAAGTTTTTTCTGTTTTAGAAAGCCAAATTTTGTTTTTATCGATAATCTGCTTTGTTTTAAAAATAGCTGGATTGCTTCAGACATGGAGAATAACTAGATTTTTTTATTCCACCGGATTTGTGCAGGGATTCAGGTCACTTGGCCATTACAGACAGTTGGTTAGATTTTCATTCTCAAGACATTTCAGCATTTATAATATAATCGCCTTAGGTTTTTTTTTCTTTAATACTGAAAATTATTCCCTAGAACAAGTGTACCAGCCCTAATACTTGAATTAAGACATAGCCATATGTTAGTTGTAAGAGTAGACCCGACATTTAACCCTGCATGAAAAATATGCATGTCATTCAACACAGATGAGTTGTGGGATTTTTAAAAAACATAGTTACAGAATATTAATATATAAATTGTTGATTGGTTGAAATATTTCCGTGTAATTTGCTTTCCATGTGATGTTGCTCTACACATGTATTTCAAGTCTTTCCTAAATGTGGTTTCAGCTTTCATAGATAAAGTAAAAGTTCTTTAGGGGCACCTGGGCGGCTAAGTGGGTTAAGCCTCTGCCTTCAGCTCAGGTCATGATCTCAGGGTCCTGGGATCAAGACTGGCATTGCGCTCTCTGCTCAGCAGGGAGTCTGCTTCTCCCTCTCTCTCTGCCTGCCTCTCTGCCTCTTTGTGATCTCTCTCTCTCTCTCTCTCTCTCTGTGTCAAATAAATAAATAAAATCTTAAAAAAAAAAAAAAAAAAAAGTAGGGGCGCCTGGGTGGCTCAGTGGGTTAAGCCGCTGCCTTCAGCTCGGGTCATGATCTCAGGGTCCTGGGATCGAGCCCCGCATCGGGCTCTCTGCTCAGCGGGGAGCCTGCTTCCTCCTCTCTCTCTCTGCCTGCCTCTCTGCCTGCTTGTGATCTCTGTCTGGCAGATAAATAAATAAAATCTTTAAAAAAAAAAAAAAGGTAAAAGTTCTTTAGAACAAAGCAACAGTCGTAAACAACCTAGCTATGTAAATAGCTAAATTTCAGGGCAAGTGTAAGCAGTGAGTTAAAAGAGCCATCTCAATTTTTTCACCAAATTTTTTGTTTTATGCAAAACTCAAAACTCAATCCATCTCTCTCTCTTTGGAAAAGATCTTAAGTGAATAGAAATATGAAATTCAAAACATTCTGTTTCGCAATGTAGACAAACATCTGAAAGGGGTACTATGTTTTTAAATGTAAGAATTAATTAATAAAAATAACTATGTCCTGTTACATATTATTTCTCCTTTTAGCGGAAGTACAAAGTGAAATTGAAAGAATCTTTGAGTTGGCGAGATCTTTGCAACTGGTTGTTCTTGACGCAGACACCATCAATCACCCAGCGCAACTTATAAAGACTTCTTTAGCACCAATTATTGTTCATGTAAAAGTCTCATCTCCAAAGGTAATTAGCTCATTTCTGCCTTACGGATTAGAAGCTCATTTCCTTTGGAATATTCTTTGCTCTGTGCTTTTTTGTTAGTGGGTAAGGAGAATATCTTATTGAGATGCCTTTAATGGGCAGTTTTTAATTCCCACAGTCTGTCCAAGTTCTAGAAATTCTAAGATAGCAAATAAAGAATAGCCATTGTTTTAAAGAAGGTCACTCTCTATTGTGGTTCACCAGACAGGCAGTTATGCAAGAATACAATAGATATAAAAAATTAAGAAAGGTATGGAAAAAGAAGTATGGCTTTTCAGAGACTTTAGGTTATATCTTAGTTAATTTCTTGGGCAATATTGATTCTTGTAGCACCTATATTCTCTCCCTGACTGAGCAAGTACATAGTTCAGGAAAGGTATATACATTTATCATATATAAAGCCAAACATCACTGTATAAAATCTCTTATGGAAAAATTATAGACATTATATATGTGCTCAGGTTGGATCTCCAGGGAGTAAGGTATTCTGTGATTAAACACAGTGGGATATCTGCCCTGTGTCTTTATGCCACAAAGGTAGATAAAAATAAAAGTGAGACAGCCTCAAATTGGTCTCTTTTGATTAGGCTGTTCTTTCATTTTTAAGAAGTGATGATATTCTAGAAAGTTAATGTGAAATAGATATCCTAGGGAGGTGTTACCTTAATAATTAGTTTATTTTCAGTGCCTCCAAGAGTGCAGTTTAGCGCTATGTGTAATTCAACTTCCAACCAGAGCAGTAGTCGCCTCTCACAGATGGAGAATGTCTAAAGAAGCTGTGTCCTTCACCAGCCGTCAGCCTTCCATCTTTGCAGGCACTCATTCTGCACGGGAAGGACTTGGGAATCCTGACCAAACCAGGACCTTTTGGGAACCATTAGAATGGATTGAATCTGCCTTGACCACCTCGAGGTCTCTTTGGCCCCGCACTGAGGGGGATTCAGATACCCTTCATTGCAGCGGAATAGATTTCAACCTCTTTTGCCCACTGCCCCAGTCACCATGGGGTCATTAAGTGTAGGAACAGGGTCTCCTGTGGACATACACGCTGAGGTGTCATAGAGCCTCACCGACCAGTACTATTTTGGGGGTGAGGGCCCTATTTCAGCTTAAAAAAAAAAAATGGAAGGGAGAGGGAGTATATGGCAAGTGCAGTTATAGCCATGCCCGAATGACACAGGTAATCACTGGTTTATAGGTAGCAATATGCCAGTGCAAATGTTTTGCCTAGATTTCTAATGTGAAATCTTGTTAATGTAAACTGGAACACCTCAATAATTATCAGTGACCAAAAGGACCAGATATATAAATGACTGATATTTATCTGATATTGAGATAGTGATCTAAAATATTATTTCACTGAATTTGGACATAAGTGACCTGGTACAGATCAGTTCCTCCACTTTTGCAGGGCTCTAATTTCTCTGGGTAGGGGCACCTGGGTGGCTCAGTCAGTTTAGTGTCTGCCTTCAACTCGGGTCATGACCTCAGGGTCCTGGGATTGAGCCCCAGTGTCAGGCTTCCTGTTCAGTGCAGAGTCTGCTTTTCCCTCGCCCTCTCCCACTCCCCCTGCTGTGCTCTCTCTCTCTCTGTCAAATAAATAAATACACTCTTTAAAAAATGTTTAAAAGTAAATAAATAAATAAATAAAATCTCTGGATAAAATCTAGGGCAGGAACTTGAGATCCCTCCAGGACCCCACACGGAGAGAGAATAGGATGTACATATCAAAGCCTCTGCAAGTGAGAGCCAGTGTAAGTGGGTGATGTCATTACAGAGTTTATATATATCATTTTTCATATTGTATTTCATCTCTATTAATACTCAGGGCTAGCCAGACTATGTTAAAAAGCCTTGGTTTATTCATTTTTCTTTTAACTCATTGATTCATGTCTTCTTCTATCAGGTTTTACAGCGGTTGATTAAGTCTAGAGGAAAGTCCCAAAGCAAACACTTAAATGTTCAACTGGTGGCAGCTGATAAACTTGCACAATGTCCCCCAGTAAGTACCATCATTTTTTTGCGTTCGTCATTCTTGCTGGGACAGGAGGGGCTGGTGTGTTTTTTGTTTTCCCATTACCATTGTCATTTTGTTCTAGAATGATGGTGATGATCTGCTGTCATAAACATAAAGGGTTTTTCGCACACACTGCTGCTGTCCTGTTGGCTACACTCAGGCATCCGGAACTGGGACATCAGTTCTGCCGTGTAAGAAGAACTGAACCTAGTGTCCAGTGTCCCATCGCTTGCCTGCTGCCTGATAACCATGCAAATACTCGGCAGACTACTTAATCCAGTCATGGGGACACGTTTATGAAAAGAGAAAAGCAAATAAAACATACTAATTTGACTTTCCTTTAATTTTTCTGCCAGAAAATTCCAGTAGGCAGAAAAGATGTGACCTTGAAGGTTGAGAATTTATGGGAACTAGAAGAGCCCTATGGTTATAGCAGATGAAGAGGTCAGGGTTAAGTAAGATGAAAAATTATATTATAGCAACGTATGTCCTGGTGCCATTGCCAGAAAGCAGCTACTGAGGTGGAAGCCAAGAAAATGGCAGGGATTTGGGTGGGGGGAGGTGCTGACTGTTCTTCCGTGGGTCACCAGTGGCTGATCTGTGTCTACCACTCAGCTGATTTACTACTTCTGTGCCTGTGTTTCTCTAAAGAAAATAACTGTCTTTCCTACTGATTTAATTTACTAAGTTTTTAAATATATACTTGTGTAAGGATCATTTATGCCCTGTGGAAGCATAAAATCTAATTCAGATGTTTAGAGAGACAATACAGCATAGCTGTTAAAAGCATGGACTCTGAAGCCAGATTGCCCATGTTCAGATCCACACTGGTTTTGTAATCTTGAGCAAGTACTTTCCTCACTGGGTTGGTGTAAGGTTTCAATGAGTGAGTATGCAGTAAAGCTCTTAGGACAGGGGTGCCTGGGTGGTTCAGTGGGTTAAAGCCTCTGTCTTCAGCTCAGGTCATGATCCCAGGGTCCTGGGATCAAGCCCCACATTGGGCTCTCTGCTTGGCAGGGAGCCTGCTTCCCCCTCTCTCTCTGCCTATCTCTCTGCCTACTTGTGATCTCTGTCTCTCAAATAAAAAAATAAAATCTTAAAAAAAAAAAGCTCTTAGGACAGAGCCTGGCATGGAATAAGCACCACCTAGGTGTTTCTGTTAAAATTATCAGATATACTTTGCATTCTGCCATGGCTAACCTGTCAGGCTCTGTAAGGATGTGTTCCTGTCTGGTTCACTATTATATCTCAGTCCTTCATTATGATAGGCCCACAATAAATATTTATTGACTAAGTGAATGAGTGAAAGGCAGTAAGAGTAGGATGCATCCTTTTATTGGATGCTTATTAGGCCAGAAGCGAAGCTAGATGCTTTACATAGCTTATCTCTAATCTTCACTGTTACCTAGTAAGGTAATTATACTTATTTTGTATTATCCCCATTTTGTAGATGAGGCTACTGAAGGGAGAGAGGTGAAATGACTTTCCTAAGGTCACACAGCAAATTAGAACTAGATTAGATTTATCTGGCCCCAAAGCCAGTGTCCTGTCCTCACAGTCCCTCCTACCTGTACACATACCTGGTTACCTGCCCCACAGATAATTTGGATAGGCTGGAGTCTGGAGTGTTATGTTAAGAAGTCTAACTTCACATTGCCTACGAAGTCCACTTACAAAATGGAATGTGTAATTCAAACCCTGTGTGTAAATACAAGAATGTACTACCCAGCCCCTGACTCTACAGTCCTTACCAGCTAATGGAAGTTAACCCTTACTGAGCAGATACCAAACGCTAGGAGTATGCTATTATTTCCAATTTTTAGAAGAGCCTTATAAAGAGAGTTGTGTCAGTTTGGGTCTTCTGGGAAGGAGACACCTAAATGGAATTAGACGTGCAACTTACTGGAGAAAATACCTATGAAAGACTAAACACAGAGAAAGAGGACAGAACAGGCTAGTAGAGCCTTCCGACCAGACCAGACTAGTCTCATGAAAGGAAGGGAGGAAGGAGGGAGAAATGGATAGCAGGAGCCTCAGACTGATATGTAGCTTTTCTTACAAGTTTGTCACATGTTGGACAGAACTGTTCAGGCTCTAGTCCCCATGCTGCGCTCAGGCACTGGCTAGGAGCAGCCTGTGGAGAGGATGGCATTGGCTTGGACCAATGCTTCGGTCATTCCAGAAGATGCCACAGTAGCCCCATCTCCCCGCACCATGCTATCTGCTGACTGCACTCATGACTGCGGGTTTTCCAGGATATCTGATCATAGACCTCTATGACCACCCTCGTAGATAACATCATCCTTACTTCCTAGAAGGGAAAGGTAAGTCCCTGATTAGGAAAGTTGTTGGAGGTAACAATTAGGAAATGAGCCCCAGATTCAACCCTAGGTCTGTCAGACTCCAACAAACCTCCACGCGCTGTGCCCTTCCACCTCTACAGAGCTGGTGAGTCTTTGGTCCCCAACTTTGCTGTGAAGAGACATCTCCAGGACAGAACAAAGTCGTCAAATGGTAATGGGGGTTGTTAAGGAAATTGAGGGAGTTGAAGCCGAGAGTTCCAATTTGGGCAACCATTGGCCAAGTCCATGTGGTCCTTCAGGATGGATGTTCTGCTGTATCAGACCTCATCTGGGGCAGAGAATCTTGGTAAGGGAGGAGACAGGGAAGTCCCTGCTTTCTGACCTTTGCAAGAGATTCCTTTCTTTTCTGTGTCTGAGGGAAAGGAGGTCTCTCCTCCCTCTTTTCCCCTCTTGTTGCTATTAATGGAACTTCCTATTTGCTTTTGTTATGTCTACAAGCATCCCCACCTTCCTTTGTTTCCTGAGTCAGTTAGCAAAATCTCCTCAACCAATGTAGGCTTTTGGGAAACAAAACCCAGGGAGGGAAAGGGAGAGCTGGCAATTTCCTGCCACAGTGTGCCCCCACCCCTCACCCCCACTCCCCCACTCCCCCACTCCCCACCCCCTACCCCCGCCAGACAAGGAACCCCAGATCCTGCCACCTGCATGAGTGGTAGGAAAGAAAGGGGGAAAATACAAAAGGAAAAATACAGATTAATATCTCAAAATTCGTTGGCACATCTGTCTTCACAGATGGAGAGGGATCTACATTGCTCAGGCGGCCTAGTTCTGTGAAGTGCCTGAGGTGGCCACAAGATCTGCGGGAGTTTTGGGTGCGGATCTGGGTGGACTGGAGAGTAGTTAGGCCTGTCTGATTTCATTGGACAGAGTGAGAAGATTCACCCACCAGAGTGGGCTCTATGAGCAATTGTTGGAGTTGTGGGAGGAATCTCCTCTGGTGAAGGCTGAAGGCTATGGTATCCGAGACCCTTCTCAACTGTAAGACTGACTCTATCTAGATTTTGGAAGTGATCAGTGTAGAGATGTTGGTAAAATCATGAAGGCTGTGGAGCCCCAGGAAGAGGAAAGTATTAAAATAAAGCAGAAAATATGTCAAGTGATATCCTTATTGTTTCAAAATGTCCTAGGTACTTCTAAGGAACGATCCGTGGGCTTGGCTGAGGACATGGCATCCATGTCACTGTATGGTTAAATCAGACAAACTCAAAATATCTGGTCATCTCAGTGTTGTGTGGCTCACCTACAAGTACTAAAATACATTCAGCAAACATTATTTAAGTGTTAGGCCTGGGCTCCTGGGTGGCTCAGTCGGTTAGGCTTCTGCCTTCAGCCCAGTTATGATCTCAGGATCCTGGGATGGAGCCGCTTGATGGTGTCCCTGCTCAGCAGGGAGCCTGCTTCTCCCTATCCCTCTGCTCCTCCCCTCTGGGGATTCAAAGGCATGTTCCTGCCTTCAAGGACTGCATAATCTTTTTTTTTTTTTTTTTTTTTTTAAGATTTTATTTATTTATTTGACAGAGAGAGACAGCGAAAAAGGGAACACAAGCAAGGGGAGTGGGAGAGGGAGAAGTAGGCTTCCTGCTGAGCAGGGAGCCCAACATGGGGCTTAATCCCAGGACCCTGGGATCATGACCTGAGCTAAGGCAGAACTTTAATGACTGAGCCACCCAAGCACCCCAGGACTGCATAATCTAAACAGAGTTAAACACAGAGAACCAACTAGTAGTTGTCAGAGGGGAGGTAGTTGAGGGGGCAGATGAAATAGGTGAAGGAGGTTAAGAGGTACAAACTTCCCTTTATAAATAAGTAAGTCACGGGGATGAAAAGTACAGCCTAGGCAATATAGTCAATAATTTGTAAAAAACTTTATCTGGTGACAGATGGTAACTATGCTTTCTGTGAGCATTCTGTAATGTGTATAATCGTTGAATCAGTATGTACAGCCCCTGAAACTGATATAATATTATATGTCAATTATACTTCAGTTTTTCAAAAAAAAGATTATAGTTGGGTAAGTCAACTCTTTTTTTTTTCTTAATTTTTTAAGATTTTATTTATTTATTTGACAGACAGAGATCACAAGTAGGCATAGAGGCGGGCGGGGGGGCGGGGGAAGGGGGAAAGCAGGTTCCCTGCTGAGCAGAGAGCCGATGTGGGGCTGGATCCCAGGACCCTGGGATCATGACCTGAGCCGAAGGCAGAGGCTTAACCCACTGAGCCACCCAGACACCGGCTAAGTCAACTCTTAGCAAACAATTTGGTAGATCCTAAATATACTAACAGATACTACTTTATAAATCTCTTATAGTTTCAAAGAGTGGTTTAGATCAGGGTTTCTCTACTTCAGCACTATTGACATTTTGGGTTGGATAATTCTTTGTTATGGGAGCCTGTTCTATGTACTGTATGATGGTGAGCAACATTCCTGGCCGATGACAACTTCCATATTGGGACAACCAAAAATGTCTCCAGACATTGCCAGATGTCCCCTAGGGGGAAAAAAAAATCACTCCTGGTTTACTAGTTTAGGTTAATATAGACACAGATTTTGGTAAATAACATTATAAGTCTTAAGTGATATCTTGAGATACATTTTAGGTGAATTAAACTTGTTTCTTTGAT